AGGTAAACTGATTTTGAGCCATGGAGAGACCAAAATTTATGCATGTACACCATATATTTATTCATATCGATTTACACAAATCAATTTCTATCTCACAATATCTTAAAATTAGTAGGGTTTAGATTTAGGGAATTGAACTCTTTTTGACTTTGGAAGTATCAAGGCATATTCTTCCAAGCTGAAAGAAAGATCAAACCCGTGAAAGTTAAGAAATACACCTTTTCACACTATAAAATAAAGGGCAAAAAAAAAGCATGTGCCAACCTTATCATTGTTAGAATGATATATCTTGTTAGCAACCCAACTTGTTACACCAAATTGGTTAAGATGGATAAAAATGTAAAACATGGCAACACCAACAGATAATGAAACTATGTCAAAAGAATAGAGGGGAACAATAAAATGAACATATGTCGCAAAGTTTTTACCTTTATCACGTGCCATAGAGAAACATGAAAGTCATGTTAGTAATTATAATTGACTTAAAGCTATTTACCTTGAGAGCAGTCATGGGATATTTGTCAGAAAAATAGTTCCAATTTAAAAGCTCCACTTGAATAAAACGTCACAAGGTGGCTACCATTTGTTTGAAAGTAAAGTAGCTTTTAGGTCACCATACAAATAGGAATTCAAATAAAGAATACTAAAAGTATTTTGGACGTGTTAAATCCAACATACTCTTTGCAACATAAACGGAGTTAAGAACTTTGAGTCTCATAAAGACATTTTTTCAAAGCAGTCAAGTAACAGAAACATTTTTTTCAGTTGACTTTTATGCTTGAGATCTATTTACAAACATTATGATAAATGATAAAATCAAAACAGTAATCACTAGAGAAACATCATAAAACATCAAAGATATAACAAGTCAAATGAAATTAAAAGCTAAATATGGATAACACCATAATAATTTCACCAAACTACTATATTAGGTCACGGAATTAGATTTATAGTTTTTAATGTTTTCAAAATACACAAACATTTAACTTGTCCCCACATGTCCAATAGTTATCCTATCATTAATCTCTTTTGATTTTGATGCTTTTCTCCTCTCCATCAACTTTCTGAGCGAAACATATCTCTTCAATTTCTCGAACTCTTTCAAGTTTCAACAATAGAAATATATTGTTTAAAGAATCTACACTCTCTAGAGTTCCATCATAAACTTCAATACTCATATTTTCATTTGGATTAAGTCATTCTCAAATCCTTGTTAATGAATCGAGAATATATTGTTGCGGAAGACGGCTATCGGATAGAGCAAAATCGCAACTGATAATTTGAGAAAATAAAAATGAAGATAAAAGAGACACAAAATTTACGTGGAAAACCCCTGAATAATATAGGGTAAAAACCACGGGCAACGGTAGAAGAATTTCACTATGAAAATAGGATTACAACCTCTCTCGATCTACCAAGGAGAAAACAATGATAATTCTCTCTAGATAAAAAGGAGAAAACAACTCTCAAGAAACTCTCTAAAATCTCTTTAGTATTGGAAGAAAGCTAGAATGCTTTGGGATGGTTTTGAAGCTAAATGAGCTAGGGTATTTATAGTTGAAACTTAAGGACTAATCTTATAAATACCCTAAAGTTTAGTGACTAAAGTTTATAATTTACCCATTTAATTTTCAAACATTATTGCACCAAATTTTGACATTGTTGCACCTAATTTTGACATTGCAATATTAGGTGCCTAACTTGAACCAATTTTCCAAGCTTTTACATTTCAACAATCTCCCACTTGAAGATTTGATTGGAACAATCATATCTTCACACCATTCTTTCTACCTTGTACCATCATGTTACTTACGTCTCTGACAGGCCACAAGAGGATCGACACCAGGTAAATTTATCAGCATTGATTGCCTTCGTCATGAAATCTGCTATGTTGTCTTTGGTATGGATCTTCTGTATATATACCGTTCTTTCTTCCACCTTTTCACGAATGAAATGGTACTGAACTCGTATGTGCTTAGTCCTTGAATGAAATGCTGGATTCCTTGCTAGATGCAAGGCGCTTTGACTGTCACAAAACAGAGAGACATACTCTTGATTGTGCCCAAGCTCCTCCAATAGCATCTTCAACCAAATTGCTTCTTTATTGGCTTGTGTAGCTGCTACATATTCTGCCTCTGTTGTGGACGTAGCCACAACTGACTGCAATTTTGAAACCCAGCTTACAGCTCCACCAGCAACTTTGAACACATATCCTGTAGTAGATTTGCTTTTATCCAAATCCCCTGCATAGTCAGAATCTACATACCCATTAATTAGTAAGTTTGATCCTTCGTAACATAATGCAACATTTGAGGTCCCTTTGATGTATCTTAGGATCCTCTTTACTGTATTCCAATGCTCTTTTCCTGGATTCGCCATGTACCGACTAACCACTCTCACTGCTTGTGCAATGTCTGGTCTTGTGCATATCATAGCAAACATCAAACTTCCCACTGCTGATGCATACGGTACTCGAGACATCTCTATCCTCTCTTCTTCACTGCTAGGACTCATACTGGAGGATAATTTGAAGTTAATAGGAAGAGGGGTAGAAATTGGCTTACAATCTTGCATGCTAAATCGTGACAAGATTTTCTTCAAGTAATTTTTTTGTGAAAGCCAAATCTTCCTATTACTTCTGTCTCGGTGAATTTGCATCCCTAGAATCTTGTTTGCTGATCCCAAGTCCTTCATTTCAAATTCCCTAGCCAGTTGTGCCTTCAATTCTTCAATATGATCTTTGTTGGGTCCTGCAACCAACATGTCATCCACATACAACAACAATATAACAAAATCGTTATCACCAGACCTCTTGAAATAAGCACAAGGGTCTGCATTAAGTCTGTTGTATCCAAGGCACATAATGAAGGAATCAAATCTCTTATACCAACACCTTGGCGCCTGTTTTAGACCGTACAGAGATTTGTTCAACCTGCAAACCAAGTTCTTCTTTTCGTCTTCTTCAAAACCTTCAGGCTGGAGCATATAAATCTCTTCTTCAAGATTTCCATGAAGAAAAGCTGTTTTAACATCTAGCTGTTCCAGATGTAAATTCAATGTAGCACACATTGCCAAGACTACTCGAACTGTTGTTAGTCGAACCACAGGAGAAAAAATTTCATTGAAATCAATACCTTCTTTCTGAGCATATCCTTTGACCACCAGTCTTGCACGATACCTCTCCACTTGATCGTCACCATTTCGCTTGATTTTGAAGACCCATTTGTTACCAATTGGCTTCCTTCCTTGTGGTAGTGGCACAAGGTCCCATGTATTATTTTTATGAAGGGCTTCGATTTCTTCTTGCATCGCCATCATCCACAGTGAAGCATCTGAGCTGTTTATTGCCTCCTGATATGTTGATGGCTCACCGTCCTCTATTAAAAGACAGTATGCAACATTTCCTTCTATAACATAATCTGAGTGCCAATTGGGACGTCTTCTCACACGATCTGATTGACGAGTTGTTGGAGCTTCAGAACTCTCTGGTTCTTGTTCATCATGTGCTGGTTCTGCTTCAGAAGAATCTCCTTGTTCAAACTCCTTTTCTACATGTATCTGTGTAGTCTCTGACTTTTCAGCACTGTCATTGTCTTCTTTTCTTTGTAGCTTATCTTCTACAAAGATAACATCCATGCTAATGATCACTTTGCGGGCAGTGGGATCCCACAAGCGGTACCCCTTTACTCCATCAGCATACCCCAAGAATTTGCATTTTCTGGATTTTGGATCCAGCTTTGAAATTTCTTGGGAGTTGTACATCACATACACAATACTTCCAAATACATGGAGGTTTGAATAATCAACTGATTTACCAGTCCACATCTCCATTGGTGTCTTCAGCACTATTGCAGTTGATGGAGCTCGATTCACCAAATAACAGGCGGTATTGACTGCTTCTGCCCAGAATGATTTTTCTAGGCCTGCGTCCCTCAATATTGCTCTTTTTCTTTCTAACAAGGTTCTGTTCATCCGCTCTGCCACTCCATTTTGTTGAGGAGTATTCGCCACTGTGAACTGTCTTTTGATGCCTTCTTTCCTGCAAAAGTCATCAAATTCTTCGCTTGTGTATTCTCCTCCATTATCTGTTCTGAAACACTTAATCTTATTTCCAGAATCAAGTTCCACCCATGCTTTGATGTTTTTAAAAGTTGAAAACACGTCTGACTTCTTCTTAATAGGGTGCACCCAACATCTCTTGGAGTAGTCATCAATAAATGAGACAAAGTATTTTGCTCCACCTAGGGACGTTACCGGTGCTTGCCATACGTCAGAGTGAACCAATTCTAGAACACTTTTGCCTCTAGAATTTGATGTGTTGAATTTCAACTGGTGCTGCTTACTTGTTATGCAATGCTCACACAAAGGAAGTGATACCTTTGTTAAGCCTGGAAGTAGCTTTTGCTCCACAAGGACTTTCATTTCTTGTTCTGACATGTGTCCAAGTTTCTTATGCCATAGCATTGCAGAATCTGAACTACATGAGGCAACAGAGGCTTCTGCTTCTAGCAATGTCTCTCCCTTCAGCATGTACAAGTTTGCAGCTATTTTTTCACCTTTAAGCACCACAAGCGCTCCACGAAACACCTTCATGATTCCTTTTCGTGTTTCAATCTTGCTAGTATTATTATCCAACAATCCATACGATAATAAATTTTTCTTCAGACCTTTAACGTGCCGCACATCTCGAACAACTTTAATTGTTCCATCATACATCTTTAATTTGATGGTTCCCACACCAACGATCTCTAAGGCATGATCATTGCAACTATACACAGATCCTCCTGAGACAGGTTCATAATGATGGAACCATTCTCTTCTTGAGGTCATGTGATATGTCGCTCCCAAATCAATGAGCCATATATCTGCAAATCTTTTTCTGCCTTCCACGGTGGTTGACGCTTCACAGCATAGAGCATCTCCATCATCTGAAGTGTTTGCGGTATTGCCTTGTGGATTGGAATTTTTATTTAGACTCCAACAATCCTTCTTCAAGTGACCCTTCTTTCCACAGTGGTAGCACTTTAAATTCTTCTTGCTCCTAGACTTCGATCTACCATGTTTATGACTGCTACTTTGGCCACGTTCTGTTGATCTCCCTCTCATCGTTGTCAACGCTTCTGCTTGTTGCAGATTTACTTGTCTGTCTTCCATGTTCTTGCGCCGATTTTCTTCTTGTAGAACAGCAGCTGCAACGTCATCGAAGACTAGACTGGTGACATTACTGTTTGTCAAGTTGATGATGAGTTGATCGTACGAATCCGGTAGACTTTGAAGTAGAAGTTCAGCACGTTCTTGTTCTCATATTTTACAGCTTAAGGATGTAAGCTGAGAAAATAAGGTGTTCAGTGTATTTAAGTGCTCCGTCACTGAAGTAGATTCTGGCATACGGAGAGTGTACAATTTCCTCTTAAGAAAAATTTTATTGTGCAACGATGTGGCCTCGTACAATTTGATGAGATGATCCCATATCTCCTTAGTTGTCTTATTCTCCTCGATGCTTGACAATACTTCATCTGCTAATTCTAGATGAAAGCTTGTCATAGCATTCCCGTCCATCTCGTTCCATTTGATGTCATCTGCGAAATCCACCGGCCTTTCATTGATAGCCACTAGACACCCGTCTTTCCTTAGGATGGCCTTCATCTTCAATTTCCACAATGAGAAATTTCTCCCATTGGACTTTTCAATATCAAATTTCGTTGCCATTGCTTCGTTTACGGATAGCTCCCACTATTTCACTATCGTGAATAGTTCTCTGGAACCTTCAAAGAATGGGTAATAACTTCTTACCTTCTTATGTTGGAGGATCCACCTTTTGGTGGCAACCACAAAGACAATAAGCAGATATTACACACTCTAATCTAGCTCTGATACCAATTGTTGCGGAAGACGGCTATCGGATAAAGCAAAATCGCAACTGATAATTTGAGAAAATAAAAATGAAGATAAAAGAGACACAAAATTTACGTGGAAAACCCCTGAATAATATAGGGTAAAAACCACGGGCAACGGTAGAATAATTTCACTATGAGAAAATAGGAATTACAACCTCTCTCGATCTACCAAGGAGAAAACAATGATAATTCTCTCTAGATAAAAAGGAGAAAACAACTCTCAAGAAACTCTCTAAAATCTCTCTAGTATTGGAAGAAAGCTAGAATGCTTTGGGATGGTTTTGAAGCTAAATGAGCTAGGGTATTTATAGTTGAAACTTAAGGACTAATCTTATAAATATCCTAAAGTTTAGTGACTAAAGTTTATAATTTACCCATTTAATTTTCAAACATTATTGCACCTAATTTTGACATTGTTGCACCTAATTTTGACATTGCAATATTAGGTGCCTAACTTGAACCAATTTTCCAAGCTTTGACATTTCAACATATATTTGGTCCAACTACAACTTGATTACTTTCATTGTACTAATATAGCCTAAAGCAAAATTATCATGACTTGTCACCTAAGTCTCGTCCAATCCAACTCTTAGCCTTAGGTTAGGTAGGAAAAAACCACTTAAAAGTCCATTCCTGATTAAATTTAGATTCATTACATAAACAAATAAAAATTTTAAAACCTAATATCTTAGGTTATAAATACCTATACCTATACGTATATGTTTGCTGCAAACATATATTTTCGTCACTCTCCACATGCACGCACGCATAATATGATCTAGGGTATGAGAGTAATGATATAGTTTACGTTATTTTTGTCATTGTTAAATTCTACTCTATTATTATATAGTCGTCTTGTTTGCTTGTTTACTAAGTTTTAAGATTTTATTACTCAAATCAAACAATAACTTTTAAGATTTTATTTATTATTGAATGAAAATATTTTAATATTTTATTTATTATTAAATTAAAATTTTAGGATGAATTATTTTAATTAAGATATTATGATCTGACGTAATGTCACTATAAAATATTCAACGGTAAATGAGAACAATGAAGATCTTAATCTATTGCTCCCTATATTCTATAACGTCAAGGAACCAATGCTTGTGATATAGAATATGGTGATAAAGAAATAAAATTTTAAAGTTGAGATAACACAGAAACATGCACAATGTTATTGGAATAGAGAATTATGAAGAAATCGTTATTAGGGAAATAATTTCATAATGTCAGTGAAATGTACTTGCAACTTTGACAATTATGAAGAAATCTATTGTGTTTTTATAACTTGTTTGTCAACCTGTTTAACAGCTCAAAGGTGCTTGAATATTGAAATAAGCATAATAATGTTAGGATTAACTTAAAACTAAAGTGCTACCATAACTGAAGATAGTAACAACTTTAACATTCAAATGCTTGCTCTGGCAATATTCTTTTAAATCTCTTTTAGGAGGCCAAAGTTTATGCATGTACATCATATATTTACTCATATTGATTATGGTTGATATTTTCTCATACTAATTATGCATGTATACCAGAAACTCACACCATATGTAACTCGATATTTTTTTAATTTTCATCAAGTTTCAAAATATTACAGACTCAATTACCCCTTGTATATACCCCAAACATCGTATACAACTCACACCATTTATCAATATTCTTTTAATTATTCAAAAACTATTGAAAGTTTATTGTGATGGCATCCAATAAAAATAAGAGCGGTTCAAGAAGGACTTTCTCAATCACATGGTGAAGCACATGAGAGAAATTTCACTAAAGTTCAAAAGCTGCCTCTGTGGGCATGGTTTCCCAATAAAATAAGAAAGGAAGGAACATCATGATAATGACCACTAATTGAGATGTTTCATTTAAGATGTATGATGGTTTTTGTTGTTTTACTTTTTTGGGTTTGTATGTGTTGTTAGTTCTAGATTGTTGTTATATTGTTTTATTTTGTTCTTATTTAATGAAATGCGAGTTTGTTTGAAATATTTTCTTAATGTGTTTTTCCTTAATCGTAAATGCTTGATGAAAGCAGTTGTCATCTTTGTACCAATTTTAAAATTAAACATTTTTTTAATAGAAAAGACAAAAACCAAGTGAAAATGTGACTAAACAAATCAAACAAGAAATGCAACTAAACCAAACAGAAACATGACTAATCATGAATATAATGTTATCTAAAATTCGTGGGCTACAAGTTGATTTACATATTTTCACCAATCCTTCTTTAGCTTATCAGTTTATTCTATTAATACTGTTCAATGTTCATGTTTGCTTAGATCAATGTTGCCAACGTAGTTTCTAATGATGCAACCAACAATCAAATTATGGAGAAACAAACAAACCAACTCTTTACAGAATATTTAATTATTCTGTATGCGATGCAATACTTGATTGGGTTAATGGTTCTAAAATAAACTTAAAGTTTGGTTTTAATCTGAGTGAATTGTAATTTAAATTTATATATATTTTTTTAATCTTAGTTATAAGTGTGTTGTAGGTTTGAATCTTTTAAATTAAAATTGATTAATATTGTTTTTTGTTTCAAAATATTTATGGATCAATTGAAGTGATTTCTTTTCACTTACAAGAAATCTAACATGTTGAAAAATATATGAATTCTAAACTAGTTCAAATTCAAACTTTATGATTAACATAAGCCTCTGTATTATTATGACTAAGAACACAATTGTCCTGACTTATCACCTAAATCTATCCCATTCCAACTCCAACTTTTAGGTCGAGTAGAATAAAAGAACAAAGAAATTCATTCCTAATTGAATTTGGATTCATTATAGAAGCAAATAAAAGTTTAAAAACCTAATATCTCTACGTTATAAATACCCAAACCCATATGTGTGCTACACACATATTTTTGTCTCTTCAATACGATTAGCCTCTTCAATACGATTTTGAATTTTAATATCAGGAACTTTCTGAACATGATTGTGAATATCTTACAAATTATATATTTTTATTATTCTTGAGAAAATTGAACTCCCGATCAGTCAAATACAGTTTGGTGTCGTTAGTAGGCATTGACATTATGTATTTCATTCTTTTCTTGATCATTGAAGACGTCTATACACAAATTTTGTTCCAATGCTTTTGATTTCATCCACAAAAATCATCATAAAGGAAAATTATATTACATACAAGCCAAATCATAAACTCGGAGATTGAGTTTTTACTATAGCTTGACACATGGAGATACTGCAAACCTTGTTCTGGTTGGTTAGCCGCACTAGACGTGAGCAGAATTATAACTCTTCCAAACCCTTTCAATAAGGTAAGTATCATCAGTGTTCCTCAACTTGACATCATTGATGATTTTTGTAATATCCCAAAATTCAAGTAGGGACCAAAATAAATCAAATGAAAGTTTGGTGAATAAGGAATAAACTTAGTAAAAATTTAAGAACTAAAATGAAATTTTTATTGAAAATAATTATTATCCCATAAATGAATAGTTTACCCTCAATATTTGGGTCTTATTTTTACATGGATTTTTGGGACGAAGTTTATGTTAAAAGGTACGAAGTGTTAAAATTTAGGAAAATTTTAGATAATCAAATTGAATCGAAAATTTAGGAAATCTTGTTAGATAGTAGAGAAAGGGAAAAGATTTAATTTCCTAAGCTTTATAATGTTAGGATTTAATATGGATCATTGGATTTAAGTTATATTTAGATACCATATTAAATCTTAATTGTTAGATAAAAAAGGACAAAATTGATATTATGAAATCTTACAATGGTAAAGTTGTAAACTACTAACTCCATAATTTAGTTTCATCCTTTGGATGAAGAAATTGACATGTGGCATGATCAGTAACATTAGATCTCAATGGTAAAATAATCATTTTGCATTAGAATGAATTTTAAATTCATTTAATTTAGAAAAGTAAAAAATGGCTACAATAAAAAAAGAAAAAAAAAGATAATTCAAAGAATTTTCGTGATATTTCATAAAAGTGGATGGAAACCAAGGAAGAAAAAGAAAAAATAATACAATTTAGGGTTTTGTCAATTTTGATATTATACACTTGAATATGGGGTTATGTTGTGAAATACATAGTTGTTCTAAATTGAATTCTCTTTTATTTGAATGTAAAGTTACATGGATTGGATGAGTTATGTTATTGAATTTGAAGAAAGTTAGGGTTTATGGATTGAATTGAAGTAAAACTTGGACATGAAGGATTAATTGACTATATAGATTTTTCATGCTTGAATCAAGATGAATTTCAAGTGCACATCATCATATAAGGTTTGGCCATATTGAAGAAAAATTGGAGAAAATGATTCAATCATGTTTTAATATTTTTCATGATGGATTTACAAGCTTTAGAATGTTTTTAGAATAAAAAATTCAAGTGCAAACACGCTTGGGTAGGTTCGACTATATTTATGTTGTTTGTCATCACCTAAGATTTATTTTGATGGTAAATTATTCAATTTGGAGTTGAAATATGAAAACCCCTAATTTAATCCTTGAAACCCTAGGAGATAGAAATTAGGGTTTTGATGAAATTATGAAATTAAAGGTTAATCTGAAGTTTATGAATCTTGTATACTTCTAATTCACATTCATTGAATTTTTAAGTAATAATGCACATAGTAGAAAACCTAACTTGTGTATTTGAATGTATTTTTATATAATTGATGAATGTGAAGCATCAAAATAAGTTCAATTTGAAGGAAGTTCGAAACGAAAAGGAAAGAATCAAGATTTGAGTTTGAGTTGTATTACACTTAGAGTGGTAAGGTCTAGTTCAGGTGAGTGCATTTTATGTATTCTTATTATATGTAAGATTGATTAAAAAGACTTGTGATAAGTATGCGTTAATATTATTTCCAAATTAAAGTATGGTAAGTTATGATTTATTTATTCTTATATGCACATGAATGTTGATATTCATAATAGGGTATGAACTACCTTTTATGATTATTGATGATATGATTTTATATTGTCATATGTACTAAATGATATATGTATGTAATTTCTAGTATGTTTCTTGAAAGTCATATTGTAATTGCCATGCTATGGGTCAACTAGCTATGATGTTAGCACTATGGTGCATAAGACATTTATGCTCTTAGGGCAGTTATGCTTGTAGGATCGTTTGATTCGTAAGGCACTTTGTCTCGTTCAAGGCCATGTGATCATTAGGACTTTATTTTCATTGAATCCCATACCTTATTCTCTCATTACGATACTTTGGGCTATGTTAAATTGAAATGACTATATAGAGGTGGATAAACTTAAAAACTTATCGATATTGCTAAAAAAATAATATGTTTCTAATTTTTATGTTGTATATTATATTACATTATTTACTATTATTTATTGTCTCACTAAGTTGTACTTAGCGTGTTGAATTTTAACACGTATGTGGTACGAGGATCATGTAAGCAAGGTATTGCATCACCTTATGGGAGTTTAACGAGCTATCACAATAATTACATCATACTTGATATATTTTGGTTTTCTTAGTGGCATATATAAATACTAGTTTTAGTTATGTTTTTATAGGCCTCTAGACTAATATTTGCATAATATTGTTATGTAATAACCTATGTTTATTAAAACTTGGTTTGCATGATTAGTTTACACATATGCATGTTTGGGTTCATTATAGGTAAATGTTTACTAAATATTTTACATGCCTTAAATATGTAGGAATGTTGTATCTTAATTATATATATCTTAAGTGTTAAAAAAAGATTAGCATGTTTATTAATAAGGTAAGGTAAATAATTTTATTTGCATGAAAATTTAGTGTAATATTATAAAATTGAATTTTGACATTTATGACTTGAGTTTGATGATCGAATTTGGGAAGAATGTAATACCCCAAATTTTAGATAGTGACTAAAATACAAATTTTGAAGGTTTAGTGACCAAAGTATAAACTTTGTAAAAGTTTAGGGACCTAAATGATAATTTTAAAAAGTTACAATTTGGCCCCGTAAATAAATAGTTTACCTCAAGAATAACGTTTCCGTGGAAATCATAATTTTTCGTGTTTAATTTGGAATTTAGGATTTAATTTCCACATTTTAAAATGTTTTAAAATAATATAAATCTTTGGAATTTAGGATTTAATTTCATGTTTAATTTGGACCGTTGGATTAAAATGGCAAGATTATAATATTGGGAAAAATACAAGGGCAAATCTGTAAAGTAAGATTTTGTTTGTTCATCTTTGACTTTAGGAAGATGATATGGTTGACGTGTCTTGGTTTTATGGTAAATATGAAGCTTCATTAAGAGTAAAAAGTTTTTTTCCCAATTAAATGAATTTAATATTCATTAAAGCTTAAATTAAAGGTAAATTATCATGAAATTAATCTAAAATTTCATG